CATTTGTTTCTTGTGTGGTGCTGAAACTCTTTTTTCAGAAAGGAAAATTGTATTTCTAAAAAAGCATTCATATGAAATGTGGAGAGGAAAAGTGATGAGATAAATTCCTGCTAAGCAGTGGTGACATATGACAAAAAAATATCAGACTTGACTAGTCTTCTTGTTAATTTAGCTTAAATGTCATGTGTGTTTTTAGTCAGTCATGTAATTTTCCCATTGCTGCAAACTGCCCTTTGAGGCGTACAAGATATAGCAGTGCTTATAAAATGAATGGCAGCAATTATTATTCAAATGAGGAGGTACCAACCAGGGTATGTACAACTCGAAGCTGGTTACCTTGTGAGGTTTAATTGCATTGTATATTTGTGAAGATTTCTAAATTTTAACATAATACGATAGTAAAGCTCCCTTAAAGGAGGAAAATGGTACTTAAAATTCCAGTTACTGAACGTAGTCAGCCCACTGATGCATGATTCTTCACAATGGAGGGTGTTTATCAATGTTTTGGTTCTGGGTTGTGCCCTACAGGACTTTTTGGCCACATCAGTACACGTGAGCATTGATGGAAAATAGCAGCCACCTACCTCCATTAGAGAACTATCTCTTTGAAAGATGAGGCATTTACTGCCAGTGAAAACAAAGATCCATAAGACTTAAAGCTGCTGCAGTTTTGATCAGCTGCTGAGTGGTGTCTGGATTTTTGGATTTCTTGTTGGGGAAGGAGAGGATCAGCTAGATAGACATTATTGGATTATGAAGAACCTCTGAGTTAGCAATCATGTTTAGTCTTTTATAGAACCTTTTTTTTCCCCCTCCTAAAATGAGGCTGGTTTACTACGTCATAAGTCCATTTCAGAAACCTTTAACCTCTGCCTGTGGGTATCTTACAGAAGTCAAGTGTCACAGAACTGTCCCTATTTTTTTCCTTGCTGGCCAAGTAGGATATACTCCTTTACCAGAGGCCCCTACCAACTTGTTTTTGTCTCTCAAGGCACTTAGTGGATTTTACCTTCTAGTTATTCATAAGCCTTTCTCTCTTCCCCATTCCACCTTCCCACTTTCTAGAATCTAGAGTGTAGCTGATCAAATTCTTGAGGGCAGAGGTTATGTATCCTCTAGATCTTTTATCTCTTGATGCTGCCTTATACCTGTGGCTTTATGTGAAGTTGAGGATTCAACATATGGCAGCAGGGGAACTTCCTTGGGGGGTGAGAGCAAGTGTGAAGTGTGTCTGGTCAGGCAGGGTGACTGGGCTTTGCTGAGTCCAGTCGAAAGGCCTGGTTCTCCAAATAACCCTTCATTTCCATGACATGTGGCCTGGGGCAGGGCACATGGCTTCTCTCAGCCTCTCTCTCCTCAATTTTAAGGTGGGATCTCTGTCTTGACTGTCTCACATGGGCATTGTGAGATTCAAATGACAAAATGTATAGGAAAAAATGAACCTACGATAATACCCGCCATTCATCTAGTATTATCGAGGACCCACATTAGTAAAATTTTCTAATAGCTGGATCTTGTACCCCATTTAGTGGCAGATCCCCTCCCCCACAAAAAAGTTTACCATTCAGTATTCAAAAAATGTTTTTAAAATTTTATCCTATCAAAGAGTATATTAAACCTAATTCGGTTGTTCTTGATCATTTAAAACTTTCTTGACCCATCAGTTTTTCTTCTATATTGTAAGAGTGATACCCTCAGGATTCATTTTGTGGCATATGGATCCTTGCCGCAACACTAATGACCCCAGCCTATTAGGTTTTTGAGTTGTCTTTTTTTAATAGTTTATATAGTTTTTTAAAGTATAAAAAATATTATACTTTTTTCTTTGAAGAAGGATGGTTACTGTCTTTCCTCAATCTCAGTATGTCGTTAGTGACTTCTTGTACTTACTTGGAGTGCCCCTGGCTTTTATTTACTGCTTCTGATATGTATTGGGTTGGGAAGTGGGATGATGAAGTTTCTAACAATCAGGTAGAGTAAGAATAAATAGATCCTGAGTTGATCCTGCAGCATTTTCTGTGAGAAGAGCATGGGCTTTATGACCCTGCCTCAGCTTTGACCCCATTCATTGGTTTCCTGATTGTCTGCTGGACTCTGGGTAGTTGAGGCTGTGAGGTGAACAACTTTTATATAAATGATGTTTATACTGTCTCAATAGTTTGTGATACTGAGGCCTCATATAAAGCTTTGGAAATTGATTAGAATTAATTCTAGATTACAGCTAACTTGGTCATTTGTCAGAGGGAGTAAAACCAAGGTACATAGACCCCTGGGTGACCTTCCCTGCTAATACTCAGTGAATTGAACTGTGTCAGGACAAAATTCAGAAGGTTCTTTCCACTTGCCTCTATCTAAACTTATACCTTTAGAAAACCCAGGGGAGACCTGCAGAGTCAAGTAAGTGTAAAGGATTTGAAGGTGATCTAGTTCTTCACCCTGCCTTCTGAAATGATCTATCAAGATAGATACCTCCCTTTTGAAACAGGAGCTTCTTTCTGTTCAACTTAAGCTGCAGCAAGGGGAGACTTAGGTTTCATGCAGGTCCCTTCCATCAATATCCTCAGAGAGAGGAGAAACCCTGGAGTTGGAATCCCTAAACACAGCAGACTGGATCAGGTTCTCTGATGCTGGGCAACCCCACAGATCCTGGGGGAGAAGGCAGGCCCTGGACCTCCCTGCTGCCACCCCCAGCACTCCCACGTGGCAATCTCAGTCGCTCCCATGGCCAGTTGCTTGAAAATATGGCCCTGTGTTTCAGTAAAAGTGGTGGGAATAGTCACTCCTAGTACTGTACCTATAAGTAGTATTAACTACCTGCCTAGTAGTTATTATCTCCCTAATGCAGGGAGGTGGTATTATAAATAACATAAAATACATGCAAAATAATGGAAGGCTCCTAGCACAGTACCTGCCTGACGCTCTGTGACATTTCCTGAGAGTATGAGCTCCATGATAGCAGGGATTTTTGTCACTGTCCTCACTGCTATATAACCAGGGCCTTAGACAGTGCCTGGCACTTAGCAGATGCTAAAAAAAATGTTAGCTTAATGAACTATAAATATCAGTTGTGAGATATTTTTTACAGATGAGCAAACTAAAGCTTGGAGAGGTTTAGTAATTTAGCCAATTCATGGCAGGAAGTGGGCTGCAGAACCAGGGTTAGCACCTGGACCCACCTGCTCCAGAGTGTGTCCTCCTAACCCCTCTGCCGGTGGCCCTGAGAAAAAGGAATGATTCTGGTAAGAATTAGTAGATGCCCATCAAGTGGTCCTGAGTGGGAGAGCTCTTGGGTGTGTGATGTTTATGAACTGGCTGGTTGGTAAGCTGGCCTTGCCCATGTGAACTGGAGCTGAGATGCCCCGGTGCCTGAAACCAGTCTCTAACCCTGGGACAATAGCAGGACCTGGCTGCTCCTCCCTCCCCCAGGCCTTTCAGTAATTTGTCAGCTGTAAAACCTTAATTAGCTTATTAGCACAGCTTACTTGTCTACAGTCTTTTAACTCTTTCATTGATTGTTCCGCATGGCTCTTTAGCAGCTTCCCTGCCTTCCTTGACAGACTTCTGCACCAACTTCTTAGATTATGTTTTATGTTTTAAAGTCCATACAATTTAACTTGAAATTTGGTAAGAGGATAGATCCTAAGTGTTCTTACCACACACACAAAAAAGTGTTCACTGTATGAGTGATGGATATGTTAATTAGCTTGATTGTAGCCATTATTTCACAATGTATACATATATCAAGTCACCAAGTTGTAACCTTAAATATATACAATTAAAATTTTAAAAAAATAAATAAAGTCCATACAATCTAAAAGAAATATGATTTTGGAAAGTAATTTCAAGTAATCAAAACCAATGTGGTAGAGAAATCACATATACTTTGGTAGAATGTAGTCAATTGCAAGCACATTCAATTTTGTGACATAAATCTCAATCAATTCCTCTCCTTTGCTTCGATTTGCACAGATAAGACATTATATGATTTTTTTCTCCATTGTTCAGATAACTTATGAAATTTGCTGCTTTTTCAAATTTAATTTGAAAGTATTTTTTATCTGTCACCTATATTTAAATGTCTAGGCAATGTTTTGTAATGACATCCAAAGAGACCCACATCAGCACAGATTACAAATTTACCAACTTTGTATTTATATATGGGGTTCTATGTAAATAGGTTCTACAGTATCAAACTGGAATTATTCCTCTTGTCCCATGGTGAGACCACATAAATTTATGTTATAGAAGAGTATACTTGGCCATAAAGAAAACTGTTTTACCTTTTTAACTAAAGTAATATCCCATTTCTGACTGAACATTTACTTAAATAAAACTCAGGTTCTTTCCCACTTCAGTCACGGTAATTGTATTTTGTTTCTGTTTTTGTAATTGTATTTTTAAGAGTTCAGGAAAATGCTTCTCAAGATTCTTTTACCCTTTGTGATTGCTATTGATTTTTGCTTGTTTATGGAATCATAGGGGCCTTGGGAGATAAATATTATATTACTGCCTCAAGCAAGACTATATTCAAGTCATCCTCAAAAGATAGCTCACACCCTTCCAGAATATCTTACAAGATGAAAGCATGAAAGCATCTGTGGGTACTGTCACAATGGACCATTTACTTGGGAAGTTTTTCCTAATGTCTAACCTAACATCTTTCTCTTCTTGTCTTGTTCAAAAAAATAAAAGGAGCTAAGAGTTCAAAACATATTTTTCTGAGTTTATAAAGAGGGTTCTACTATATAGCTTTTCCCCTTAGAGGTGAATAAATATCGATATTGATACTAGTGTTTATGGTGGGGGGGGGGTGTCAAAATGATCAGCCCATTCTCCCTTCTGTGCTTTAGAGAAATGAAGAAAAAAGGTAACAAAAGTGGGGTATGACTCCCTTCAGGGCTGTCAGGAGGGGACAAACAGTTCTGGTTCCTCACTAAATGGATTTGCATTCTTAGAGCTGTGGAAATGATTTTAAATTTCTTTTTACTTGTTTTTTTTAGGTGCACTTTGACCAATTTAAAGAAGCATTAATACTTATCTTGTCTAGAACTGTATCAAATGAAGAAAACTTTCAAGAACCAGGTAAGGGCACTTTTCTTCTCTACATTCCCCTTTAAAAGTTGTGCAGGGAAGAATTTGGGGACCTTGAAGCATGTCTGTGAAGGATTTGGGGCATCTGCCTTTCACAGATCGAGCAGTTATTTTCAGTGCCTTTTCTTTCGATATTATTATAATAGCCTTGCAGCTGTTGAACGCTAAAATGAGACTTTCCTACTACAGCAATGTATTATGGAAAAAAAATAATTGGATTGTTCCTAAGCGATATGTCAGTGGGTGTGGCAATAACTCATTCTCGGAATGAGCAGAGTGAAGCTGAATGGTATTTGCCTTCATTCTTATATTCTGCATATGTGGAAGGATATGATTTGAGGAAAATTTTGCCTGGAAAAAGAAGGGTGGCCAATCTAGAGATAATTTTATTTAGCTGTAGTCAGTAGATAATCCTCTGCTATAGACATTATCACATTATATTGTAATTGTTTATCTGTCTATCTTTCTCAAGCGATAGTTCCTTGAGGACCTATTGTTCACTTTTCTATTTCCAGTACCTAGAAGAATGCTTAGCACATGGTAGGTATTCAGTGAATATTATGAAATAAAAGACTTAATATTGAACTTCATTGACTTTTTTTAAAGTACCATAGATTATAAGAAACAACATTATTTTATGTATCTCTAAAAAATTGTTACCAGTTATAAATGTAAAATGCCATTGACTATAAAATACATCCTAATGTTAGAGTATTCAAATCTGGTGTGTGGGGATGTGTGTCTTAGAATGAGTGAAATATGGTAAATGTTTAAGGGGAAGTCTAAACTGTGGAAATTTGCATTACAGTATAGTCTCTTTTTATCATATCAGTGACTGTCACAGTTTAGTGGTAGGGGTTGACTATAAAGGGGCATGGCGGGAATTTTGGGGGTGATGAAACTTTTATATCTTGATTATGGTGGTAGTTACAGGATTGTATGAGCTTTTCCAACCCAGAAGTGAAATTTACACTATGTAAATTGTACCTCAATAAACCCAACATTAAAAAAAAAATGTCAAAAAGTATAGTCCAGTTTTGAGACTGAGCACAAATCATTAACATTTTATCCCTATAAGGAGTCACTCAATGTGACCTATTTAGATGAGGCGCCGATGGGAACTCATTTCTTATCCTCACTGGTGATCTAGTTCCTCACCCTGCCTTCTGAAATGATCCAGATTGCCTCATGTGCACGAACAATGCCTTTAGCAGTATTTTGGATTCTGGATTGAGTCTCCCCTTTTTGCTAATGGTGACCACCTCAGGAAGGTTATTCTCAATTCTGAAGCTTGCCAGAACTCTTTGGAAGCCACCAGTGAGCCTGCAAGGGAGGTTATTTCATTCTCATGATTTTCTAGACTAACAAAAGAATTTCTGTAGGTGACCATTGCTGGACTTTTGTTACATATGGGGTCTTACATTTTATTAGTATTTTTATTTTTTTAAGGTTGTCATCTTGATAACAATTGTGCAAGATCTAGGGACCTTCAGTAGAGCTGTAGGGACATCACCACTGGGGTACACTTTAGTTACTATGAGCATGGGTAATATAAATATGAATTCAGTGTGTACTGATAATGTGCTTTTATATGGATTTGGAATGGGCAGCCCTGCCACTGGCCCACATGATCCTTTTGTTGTCCTTTCTTTGAAAACTGTACTGTCACTTGCCAGAAAATTGTCATAATAAGTATCCAGATTTATGGTGACCACAAAGGTGAAGTGTGCCCCCTAGAGTTGTGCAGTTTTGGGATCTAAGCAACAGGATGAGCTAGACAATGGCTGGTTGAGCTTGCTAACAGCCAGGAAGTACAGTTCATAAATCTAGCTCCAGATGGTGGTGTCATAGTTATGTGTGTGCCTCACTGCTGCACAGGCAGAGATCATAATTTGGACAAGTCTTCCAGGACAACCCACAGAAGGGGTTTTTATAGTTTTGCCATGGGCTTCATCCTTTGGGTAGGCTGCAGCAAATCTTTGTTACAGAACTGCCCCAAATCAGTATAATGCAGCAGCAAAGTATTATTGATTACATTTTATCTAGGATTTATATAAGTTCCCTAACATTTGTCCTGGCAGGATAAAATCTAAAATTGAGTCTGTGCCTTAAGAGGGTTTTACCTAATATGAGGCATGAGTCAGCCCTGCCTCCCACATTCCCTGCTTTGTTCCTGAGCAGCTCTGCTTTTTCTGTCTTTTGCCTGTCTCTCCCTGGCCTCCCCAGTTGTTTGTGGGGCTCTTGCAATTCTTTTCACTCAAACATCCTTCCACCCACTGTAAAATGTGACTCTGCCCCCGCAGGCTGACGGGTTCCACCAGGCAGAGACAGAGGGAGAAGGGTCCTGAGACTCAAGTGCGGAGTATCAAGAGGCCACCTGAGTTCTGCTCTCTCCAGAGGGCTGGCAAGAACTTTGCCATTTTATTGATGAGCAAATTCAGGCTCACAGAGGACATAGCTTAATTGAAGTTTCACAGATAGTGGCAGAGGAAAATGCTAACACTGTATCACCAAAGGGATGTGTTTCAAGGAGGCTTTAGTTTGAGGATTTCAGCCTTCAAATGGATGAGCCAGTCCTCAGTCAGTGTAGCCTGTGGCCAAAAGAGTCTTGACAGGTGGTCAGAGGCAGCAAGGAGTAAGAGCAAGTGCCCCGATCATTAGTGACAGGGGTGCCTGTGTCCCCACATTCTTTGGCTGCTCAGTAATTAACTCATCTTTTACCATAAGGGACTAGGTCTGCTTTATTTTTGTTATACCTTTTGAAGACAATGGACTGGCAGACTTTGAGAGAAAAGGTTACCCTTGAACTATGGAAGGGGACTGAAAAAATAGGAGGGTCATAGTGCACAGCCTTCGAAACTGAGAGGGTCATTAATTGATATTTTATAACACTGAAGATTTTTATAAGTTAAAACATCAGATACTGTATCAGACTATGATACAGAAAAGTCAGCTTGATATAATGGAAGGACCCTTGAGCAAGGAGATAGGAAATACTGTGGCTCTGCCCCACTAATTGGGTGACCTTATATGTCACAACCTCTGTGATCTTTGGTCACCTCATATATAAAAGTGATTGCACTGGAAAATACTTAAAATCCCTTTCGCTTCCAAGATTGTATTGTGTTGTCTTCTAATATCTAAATGACATTATCTAAATCTATGAAAAATGCTAGCTTTAGGTTTCTATAAGACTTTACCTAACACAATTGACACTATAAAATTATTCTCCCTAAGAACAAATGACCAGTATATTTCACGCTTTTATATTCTTCTAATAATAGAGGCAGTTGTATATAAATAATACAAAAGCAAAGCCCTAATGGGGTTTGAGAGGAGATGAAATTAAGTCATTATTTCCATAGTCTTGAGCTCTGCCATTTACAAATTCTCTGAGGCACAGTATCTTTATTTTTAAAATTAGGGGGTATGGACTAGATTATTTTCAGCATCTTTTTTAACATTAATATTTATGAGCCGAAGACTCTTGGAATTTTTTCCCCTAAAAAACAATAATAATAACAACAACAGCAACAAAGAGATTTTTTTTTTTAAATGAAGTAAACAAACAAAACATAACAACAACAGCACAATGAAAAATACAGAAATTTACATAAGGGCAGAAGAATGGTTTGGGGCTGTAGGGAGTCCTTTGTAAATTCTAAAGTGATTAACATTACCAGTGACAAAACTCCCTCATATCTATATGTACAATTTAATTTTAAAATTATTTTTTGGAGGGCCGGCCCGTGGCTCACTCGGGAGAGTGCGGTGCTGATAACACCAAGGCCACGGGTTCGGATCCTATATACAGATGGCCGGTTAGCTCACTGGGTGAGCGTGGTGCTGATAGCACCAAGTCAAGGGTTAAGATCCCCTTACCGGTCATCTTTTAAAAAAAAAAAAAAAAGAATTATTTTTTGGAATAAGAGAAGGGCAACAATTTAATTTTTGGCTATTTATTCAATTTGCCATGGCTATGGATTATAGGATTTTTGTAATGGAAATGCTGGCATGGGCTCTAAGCTATATGGCATCAACATGCCAGCTGGATCCACTCTCCAGAGATTCTGTCCTTTGATGCATCTTGCATTAGATTTCTGTTCTGTAGTTGATATTAGCATAATGCAGGAAGCCCTTTCTTTCTCATATGTGGATCACTGAAAATGTCTTTCCTTTGTTTATTGGTAGGGAAAAACTCAGGTTTGGAAAAGCCAACTCATTAGAAAAATAGGACTAGGCATTGTTTTTGTGCAGATGATTGTGTTTTTTGTAATAGACTTTCCTAATTCCAGGAACTGCCCTAATTGTAATTATTTTCCTTATATTTTGAAGAAGCCATAAATATAATGAACAGACATCTTTTCATTCACTCAGCAAATGTGCATTGAAGCAGGTCCTATGGCCTGGCATTGGGCTAGATCCTGATTTGCAGTGATTGAAGATTTGTGTTTGTATCTGTGTTCAGAGGCCTTGGGCCAGTGTGGGGCTACTGCTAAGCCAATGTTGGTATCCCTGTATTGTGGAGCCACGGCTAATGTCTGGAATCCTGTCGACATTGCCAATTTTAGCACTCTTACTCCTGTTCGTGACGCCAATTGTCTAGCTACACGACCACGCTAGTTGTCGGGCTCTTTTACCTGCCAGTAATCCTGTACTGACTGGGCCAGTTGCCGAGCTAGGGCTGGGTCTGGAGCTCACAGACCCCTCAAGCCCATTCACAGACTGGGTCACAAACCCTTCACATGCTAGGCTGGGCCACCAGACCCCTTACACGCAGGTCTGTGAGCTCAGTAACCAGCCAAAAGGTCCTTGGAGCCATAGGTTGGAAAGCATGGCCGCGCAGGGAGGATGCATCACTAAAACTCCTCTCTCTCTTTCTGAAGAACACAAGAAAAACAACAAAACTAAAAAGATACATTGGTGCACATGTGCACTAACTCCACACACACACACACACACATGCACGCACGCACAATTTGCTTACAAAG